ACCAGTCGGCCGTCTTCAAAATTTCTTCAAGACGACAACCCATCGAAGATGCCTTGGAAGCCATCGCTCCTCGCACTGAGTGAGGTGAAAATAGTGAGGTGTCGATTCCCGTTGTAGACATAATCCATTTGACCCAGCGGGCCAAGGTAGGGGTAGACACTGGTAAGTGTGGTTTTTGGAAAGAAATAAAGAGTTCGTGTTTTGTTGGGTCCCGTAATGCAGCGGTGCGAAGTTCTAAGGACTGAAGGTATTTGACCGGGCATAAGAGAGGCTTGTCAGGAAAAGATGGGTATGTCACTCTCTTTGATAACATCTTTGTTTTTCGGGATATGTCGAAAGTGACCCCTTCCTGAGTGTTGGAACGTGCGGTAATGTCTAGAGCCCTGACGTCGGAAACCCTTTTGCAGGATATGAGAAAGAGGAGTTTTGCCGATAACTGTTTCAGGGATATTGATGCTTTGTCTGGCCATGATTCGAGAAAATTGAGAATAATGGTGATGTCCCATAGTACTGAATAGCGTGGTAGCGGGGGGCGTGCAAATCTGATGCTGCGTAGGAGTCTGCATACCAGTGGGTGGCGTCCTATCGGTCTTTCATCTATATCTTGGTGTGCGCCGAGATAGCCGATCGATAGAGGTTCACTGTACGGTATGCTTTGCCGTTGTCAAACAATGAGGTTAGGAATTGAAGAGTCGAAGTCAGAGGAGCCGATATGGGATCCAAGTACCGTTCCATGCACCAACCACGCCATTTGTTCCAAGCAGATTTATAAGCTTGTCTTGTGCCGGGTGCCCATGCGCCTTCGAGAAGTTGGAGAGTTGATTCCGAAATTCCCTCAATTGAGCAAGGCTCCCTGAAACTAGCCACGCTGTGAGGTATAGTAAACCTTGTTGGACCAGGGGGTGGGGAGACCCGTCCGGGTCCCGAAGCAGGTAGTTGAGGCATGGAAGGATGCGGGTAGTTGAGGGTATGTCAGGGTATGTCTATCGCCAACTCCAAGAGGGAAGTAAACCATGGTTGGGACAGCCATAATGGTGCCACAATCACTAAAGTTCCCGTCTGGTGCCGTAGTTGCAGTAGGCAGCGGGGAATCAATGCAAAGGGAGGAAAGGCATAGTTCCTTGCGGAGGACCAGTCTTGGGTGAAGGCATCTGTTGCTAGTGCTGATGGGTCCGGTCTCCAACTGAAAAATCTGTGAAGTTGTGTATTCAAATGGGAAGCGAACAGATTCTTGTCTGAAGGGCCCCATAGGGATTGGATGTCTTGGAAGACTCTGGGTTCCAGGTGCCAGTCGCTGGGATCCCTGAGGTGTCGAGAGTACCAGTCTGCCGTGGTGTTGCAGAGGCCTGGGATATATTCCGCCGTGACCGAAATGCCCTGTGTCAGGCAAAACTGCCAAAAGTCCTGTGCCAAATTCGCCAAGACCTTCGATTTCGTGCCTCCCAAGTGATTTATATAACGGACTGCAGATATATTGTCCATTTTTAGGAGGATGGAGCATCGGGCTTGATTTGGTGGAAAACTGCGGATTGCAAAGGATCCGGGCCAGGAGCTCCAGGCAATTTATGTGGAGTGATGAGTCCACTTCGGACCATCTGCCACCTGTAGATATATTTCCACAGTGCGCACCCCAACCATGCGAGCTCGCATCGGATTCTATTATTATGCCTGGTGCAGTGCCGAAAATGGCGCGCCCATTCCAGGCCTCCATATGGGAGAGCCACCATTTGAGTTTGTTTTACGCTTCCGAGTTCAGAGTGATCATGTCTATGAAGGAGGCCCTGTCTTTCAAATGGGAGGATTGTAGGCGCTGTAGCGCTCGATAATGAAGAGGGCCCGGGAAGATGGCTTGTATGGAGGCTGCTAAGAGGCCTATCACTCTCGCCAATTGTTTGAGGGTGAGCTGTGAGGTCGCCAGAGTGCGTCTGATCTCCTTCTTTATGTTGGTTAATTTTGTCGCTGGTAGGTATAGGGTCTATAGTGTAGAGTCCACGATGAGACCCAAGAACTCTATGTGTTGCGTGGGAACTAGGATGGATTTTTCCCAATTGACGAGGAAGCCTAACTTCTGAAATAGAGTATGAGGCCAATTCAAATGGGTCTCAGTAATTTGCGTGGATTGACCCATGATGAGGATGTCGTCCAAGTAGATTATGAGACGTACTCCTCAACTCCGTAGTAAAGCCATCACGGGCTTCATGAGTTTGGTGAAGCACCAAGGGGCTGAGGATAGTCCGAATGGGAGACAGGTGAATCTCCATTTTCTTCCTTGCCATATGAATTGCAGGAAGTCTTGGTGGTGTCGTGCAATCTGTATTGTAAGATAGGCGTCCTGAAACTCTAACTTCACCATCCAGTCCGATGGTTGGAGGAGATCTCTGAGGCAGTGTATGCCTTCCATCTTGAAATGATTGTAGGCAACATAAGTGTTGAGTTGTCTCAAATTGATCACTGGGCGGACGTCGCCACCTTTCTTGGCAACTAAGAATAGGTTGCTCACAGCCTGTGTGGTAAATCACCAAATTAATAGATATATATTACACAAGGTTCGTCTACATTAAAAGGTATTTATTAGAAGGCAATAACACTATACTATAAATTTATCACTAACACACATCCCAGACCCACGGTGCAACAACCCTTTTTAAATCTATCTATATAGTAATCCCCTTCCCCACACGTTTGATCTCACCCACGGTTAGGCCTTCACATCTAGTAATGGCTCACTGCTGCAAGTTCAACATCACATCCACCAAGGTAGAAAAGGAAGCAACAGACTGATTTCCTGCCTGGCCTTATGTTATCTACCCTTAGTTGAGATGATGTGTTTTACATCACATCCTGTTCATGCATCACTTCCTTTAGCAATTGTGGGAGGGAAGGAAAGATTTTTAGCCCTCCAACCTAGACCTGTTTCTTTGTTTAAGGAGGTCCTGAAAGGAAGATAAATTACCATGCAAGGAAGACAAGTTACCACAGCCTGGTGTAGTCATAGGGATCTCTAAGATGGCTAGTTTGTGTGCCAATTCCAGGACCTTCTTGGAAACAAGGGAGGCGTCTTGTTGGTAAAAAATAATTTCCTGTGGTGGGGAGGATTGTACTGGTAGGGACAGGAACTCTATGGCATACCCTCGTACCGTGTTCAATACCCAGGCGTCTGATGAGATGTGTGACCATGCATGGAAAAAATTTAGGAGTCTGCCCCCCACTGCCCATAGGGAAGAATATAACATGAGAGGACTTACCATAAGGTCATCGTCCTGAACGAGTGCCTCGTGGTCCACGAGCACCCCATGGCCGCCCACGTTGTGGGAAGAAGGCCGGGGTGTTGTGGTGCTCCGTGAAAGTAGATTGTCCAGTATAGGAGCCTCGGTTCTGTCGAAATTAACCCCTGTTAACATGGCCAGACAGACGGCTCCTTGCTCTTCTGGCCCCACCAAAAACCTTAAGGTGAAAAACTTTGCGCATATTCTATTGCGCTTTATCTAGGACAGTAAAAGTGTGTACGAAAGAGCCAAGCTCTTTGACAAAATTGTCCCCTAACAGGAGACCTTTGGCCTGGGCGCCCGGTTCGTTTAGAGCCATGTTCACTCATTTGGGTTCTATTTTCAATAATATTGCTTTGTGACGTTCTGTGGCCATCGCAGAGTTGGCATTGCCAATCAAACAAATCACTCATTGTATCCACCCACTTATGGTGGTACGATCCAACTCTTGGTCGTTTTCAACCATATCAAATATCTTGGTTGCTGGGCCCAATATATCCAAGATCTTATACTGGCAGTTGCGCAGGGAGAAATCTAGGCCTTTATTAGGCTTCCAGCCTGTCTTGCTCAGGAATTGGGTAATTTTTGCGTCCACTGCAGGTGTTCTGCAGGCATCATCTGGGATAGTGGGGCGTGGGCATTCGCTTATTTCGCGTTGCCTTATCTAACAGCTTGCGAACTCTTAATGCTATGTATTTGGCCACATGGACCGAAGGGGACCATTCCGCTGACCTTGGATGACGTAGATCATCGGGGTCGAACAGAGGTTCCCCATAGGGGTCCAAGATTGTATTTGCCTTGGCTGGGGCCTTAAGCTCGACGTCACACGAGTCAGATTGAGGCGTAATATGCTCTCGGGGATCATCGTCCTTGGCCAGGCTATCTGATTCGGGATCTGATGGATCTTCCGGATCCATATAGGTCTTGAAATGGAAAAATCAATCAATGAATTGATTATTTCTTTGTGTATCTGCCCCTGGCCAAATCAATGAAACAATGCGTGCACGCTCCCTGAAGTAATTCACACCAGACACAGGTTCCAGGTTGTTGAATAACTTGAGGAAAGTTTATTCAGAGGGGACGGCAGGTCCCTTTTAAAGCAAAATTACATCATAAGCATTGTCAGAGATAACATGGAATAATACATCAATAATTGGTTAGGTGTTAAGTGGTCTTCCTAATGCTCTGCCTACTAAGGGTGATGTCACCGGGACCATGAGGGTCTCCCACGGTTTCCCGGCGCCATCTTGCTGCACGAGGTAGTTAGTCGGTGTTAAGGGGAGGGGGAGGAGGGGTTAGAAGCTTCTAGCAGCCATCTTGATTAGAACATGTGTGCATAATTTTTATGTAATATATTGTGAAATGAGTAAATAGACATTTTTACTAACTAGGAAATATGTGCAGACCTTATTTCCACAACAGTCCCCCCTAAAATGGCTATTTACCATGACAACTGTCACTGTCCCTAGTGTATCCCTAGCTGCCTGCAGCTCATCTGTCTTAACAAGCATCGAACTCTTCACTCCGTGGGTAACCCGCGGTGGCTAGTCCACCACATCTCCGCACGTGAGACTTGCCCGTATAGACAGACGCTTTCCCTATACTGTCCCTACAGGAATGCAGTTGTCTGTTAGAACTGACGGGACTGAAGGGGTGTATGTGGAGTGTCACTTTCGAGGTCTGTGATGTCTTGGTGCAGGAAAGTAGGAGTCACGTCATCTATAGTCTTCCCTACTGCTTTCTGTAAGTACTTCTGTATGCAAGGGAGCACACAACAGGTTAGGAATAAGAAGATGATAATCATTATAAGAACAGCCGTTCCTACCTGGAATCGGGTCCTTTGCCAACCATTCATCCACCCAAACCATCTGTCCCAAGTGTCAGTGGCTCCTGAGTTCTTCTTTAGTTCATCAGAAAGGCTATCTAGCTTCTCTATGGCCATAGTTACCTTAACATTGGGCCCAGTGTTGTCTGGATTGAATGTGCAGCATGTCATAGTTTCAGGGAGGATCTTACATACACCCCCTTTCTCAGCCAAAATCATATCTAGGGCCATTCTGTTCTGAAATGTCATTTGGGTGGTGGCTTGTAACTGTTCTGCCAGGCCCTGTAGGGCATCCCTAGTATAGTTGACAAAACGCTGTTGGTTATAGTAAATATCCAATTGACATTCTTATTAGCAGTTATCTGAATTAAGGACTCAAATCCTGCTGCCACTTCATCCCTTGCTTTGAATTCGCCAGGCACCCCCCTTGGCACACCAATGGCATCAATATATACATGGGGGTCGAAGCTCCCTCGGATGGGGGCCTCACGTCTAGTTCTAGAATGCACGTGTGTGTGGTCTAGTGTGTTGTGGCTACCATCTGGAATAATGTGGATGGGCATTATAACTTTGGTCAGGGCACACTCCCCCCACCATTGCCCAGCTAGTTGGGACCTCAATTGTCTGTCACCACATAACCAATAGATATCTCCGATTGTCTTTACATGATTCATCAGTAGTGATACAGGCGGGCTATGGTAGGTTGAGCAATATCCAGATGGGAATTTGCCCAGATACACACCAGCATTCTTGGGTATTGAATAACATGTGTAATTACCTGGATATACTGTGACTCCATCGGGTGGCCTGACATATCCATAAGTGATTGGGTAAACTCTCTTCCATGATTCACATGTTGAGGAATTCGTGGTGGACTGTGCATAGAGGCTTAATACACACAATTCTACTTCAGGAGGTAAACTTAGAGGTACCGTACCCAGATGGGGCCTGGCTCCTCCACATACATAGCAATTAGTTTTATTGTGTGAGTTGGCGTTGTACCTCATCCACTCTAGCCACAAATTCGTGTCTGAAAACCCAGTCTCCACTGCCATAGTGTCTTCAAAGGTGGGGTTGGCTATAGCTACCATGTCATGTAGAGTCTTAATATGTGGTTTCAGCGGATTAATGGTCATGTGGGTGGTTCCTACCCAGTCTGGTGAGGTGAGCATGTCCTGTAGATAGAATGTCCCCAGTTTATTATATGAACCACCTCCCTTCCAGTACATTCCCATTACATATTCCCCTGTGTCTTTTGGGCTGGGGTGCTCTATATTCAAGGTAAGTTTAATGGGAGTTGACCCAATAGGTTTGCTTAAAGTCATTCTGGAGAGTAGGGGTTTTCCATCTTTGTCAATCCTGTCCAATGCACTCTGGGGTCTGTAGCCCCATGGTCTACCCGTATTCCACCCGGCGGCTTTCCATGAACTACAATGATGCCCCCATACTCCTCCAGTCACACAAATGTAGGGATCCTTCTTATTAGGTATGTCTTTGTATATGGCTGCATATTGTGTTTGTGGAAAGGTGCAAACAACTATGTCACAGTAGTCAAATGTATATGTGGCCACATCTGTGTTAGAGGAGTTATACCAGAAGGTGTAAACATGATTATCTTTGGTTATGGCCACTTGTTGGGCCCAGGCAAAGTGTAGCAGCGAAAGAAAACACAAAACACACAACAAAATCATGTTTCAGTAGAAATAGCCTCTTCTGGAGTAGGCACTTTCTTGCAATGCGAGGCGTGTATCCAAGTGCTCTTTCCGGCTAGCTTAACTGACGTGGCGGTGATCAGGAGCACTTGATATGGGCCATCAAATCTTGGCTCTAGGGTGTGTTTCCTGAGAAACTTCTTGACTATAACCCAATCACCAGGGAGCAGCTTGTGTGTACCTGTATTCGACTCAGGATCTGGAATAGAAGAAAACACTTGTGCATGTATTTTGGTCAAGGCATGTGAGAGGGCAGTCACATAATCTACCATAGCATCTGACTGGATCTGAAGTTGTTGAGGGAAGTAACAACCTAGCCTGGGTGCTGTACCAAACAAAATCTCATAAGGTGATAGGCTATATTTTCCCCTAGGAGTGTACCTTACACTAAACAACGCTAATGGGAGACTCTCGGGCCAGGGCATGTTAGTTTCCTGTGACATTTTAAGCATTCTGGCTTTCAAAGTGCCATTCATGCGCTCTACCTTACCACTATTCTGTGGATGATATGGTGTGTGGAATGCAAGGGTCACCCCCAGTGCTGACCAGACTTCCCGTGTCAATGAGGCAGTAAAAGAGGTCCATTGGTCACTTTCAATCACTTCTGGAACTCCATATCTGCAAACAATTTCCATTAAAAGGTACTTGGCCGTAGTCCTTGCAGTGAGATTAGTCACTGGGAAAGCCTCTGGCCATCCTGAAAACATGTCCACTATGACCAGTGCGTATTCATAACGTCCACTCTTGGGCATTTGAATATGGTCAATCTGAATCCTCTGAAAGGGGTACTGTGGCTTGGCCAGGTGATTAGGTGCGGTCTTAATAATCTTTCCAGGGTTACATTTAGCGCATATTGTACAGGATCTACAGTAATTCTGTGTTAAGGTAGTGATGCCTGGTGCTTCAAAATACTTGTCAATCAATGAGTTCATCAGATGTTTTGACAAGTGGGCTGGCCCGTGGGCCCACTGGACCACGGCTGGATACATATTTCTGGGTAGGCAAAACTTGAGATTGATAGTGTAAACATCATCACGGAGAACAGCTCCTTTGTTCTTCCAACTTTGTTTCTCCTGGGGAGTAGCAGCAGCTTGTTGTTCCTTTAGAAGCCTAAGATCTGTAGGCAATGTCTGCATTGTGTATATAGGTACTGTGTCTGTGGCCACTCTTCTGTCCACTTCCCATCCTTGTCGTGCTGCTTCCTTAGCCGCCTGATCCGCTAAGTGGTTGCCCCGTGCTTCTTCTGAGTCTAGCCTTCCGTGAGCTTTTACTTTTAATACCGCCACTTCTGCTGGAAGTTCTAAGGCATCCATCAGCTCTGCGATGGCGGTCCCATGTTTCACTGGGGTACCAGTAGCTGTAAGAAATCCTCTTGTTTTCCAAATTAGACCAAAGTCATGTGCTACTCCCAGGGCATATCTTGAGTCTGTATAGATATTGACACGTAGGCCTTCGGACAGTTTGCAGGCCACAGTTAGGGCTGTTAGCTCGGCTTCTTGAGCTGACTTGGTTGGTTGAAGGGCAGCTGCTTGTAAGACTTGACATCCTGTGGTAACTGCATACCCAGTGTGGTATTGTCCCTGTTCATCAGCAAATCTTGAGCCATCCACAAACAGTGTTTGGTCTGGGTTAAGTAACGCAGCTTCATACACAGTTGGCAGGTGCGTAGTTTCCATTTTCATTTGTTCAAAACAATCATGGGGAATATCAAGGTCACAGTCTATGGTGAGTGGGTCCTCACAGACTTCTGTGTGGTACTTAGGATACCCTGCTGTACAGTAATTAATAGTCTTTTTGTTGATCCCCATAGAGGTCAGTTGTTCTTGGTGTATTTGACTCCAGGTCTTGGCCATTGGGCCTAGGTCTTTCCATGAGATGTCAGGGGATTTAGTGAGGGATATATGTGGGACAGCTGTTTCCCAATGGCGGTAGAGATGTGTCACATTCTCTGAGAGATGGACTAAGATGAGCATGGTACCTGTGGAATCCCATAACAAGTCGGTCAGAGTAATTTGAATTTCCTTGAGTTGGAACAGTTCTTCCTCATAGTTCATATCAGGGCCTGGGCTGTCTTTAAACCACAAGGTGCAGTGGAGTAAAGTCTCTGATTGTTCATCATGTGGGGGTACAAGGGCAGGCAGCTGCAAATCTGCTCGAACCTCTGGGTTGATGTCCAAGCTATACCAACACTGCACAATTCCCCCCTTGGGAAGTGGCAGAAGAGTGGCCGGGTTCAGGGAGAGACACCGCTGAAGTTTCACATTATCAGGTAACAGTAGAGAGGTTTGTAGGAGGCGAAGTTGACGTTGGGAGGAAAGGTGCTTAGGCTGGACTTGTTGGAGAATGGCGGAAATGTCATGAGGGGCCAACACCGTGAGGTGGTGACCAAGAACAAAATCATTAGTCTTGTCCAAGAGGGCACTGGCAGCAAACACCGCTCTGAGGCAGGAGGGACTACCCCTAGCCACGGGGTCAAGCATGCAGGAGAAATAGCCAACAGGCCGTTGTCTTGAGCCATGTTTTTGGGTAAGGACTCCGGAAGCATGCCCTGACTTTTCAGAGACAAACAGATTGAAAGGCAACTGGTAGTTGGGAAGGCCCAAGGCAGGTGCTGAAACAATAGCTCTCTTCAGACTGTGAAAACAAGCAATAGCATCTTCAGAGAGAGTAAAGGGCTCACTCCTGAGGGTGTCATAGAGTGGCTGCATTAGCTTTGAGGCTTCGGGTATCCATGATCTGCAGTATGTGATGAGGCCTAGAAAGGCATGAAGAGTCTGGTGAGCTGCAGGTAGTGGGAGTTGCAAGATCGCTTGCACACGTTGTGAAGTCAAATGTCTGGTGCCATGGGAAAGACAATGTCCCAAGAAGACCACGGAGGGCCGGCACCATTGCAGCTTTGATTTTGAGACTTTGCAACCAGCTTCAGCGAGGAAACACAGGAGGTCCTCAGAGTCACGCTCTGCAGTGTGAAGATCCGGAGCACAAAGAAGGAGATCATCGACATATTGGAGTAGAACAACATCAGAGTGGGATTTCTGCCATGGTTCTAACACCAGCGACATGGAGCGTGCAAACTGTGTGGGGGAGTTTTGGGCCCCCTGAGGCATGACAGTCCAGGTATACTGTTGTCCTTCATGGGTAAAAGCGAAGAGGAAGCGACAGGAAGGGTCTAGGGGCACACTGAAGAATGCATTAGCCAGATCCACTATAGTGAATACTGTGGCAGTAGGTGGGACCTGGGACAGGAGAGTGTGTGGATTGGGTACAATGGCAGTATTTTTGACAGTTACTTCATTGACAGCACAAAGATCCTGGACCATCCGGTACTGGTCAGGTTGGCCTTTGGCAGTTCTCTTCTTGTCAGGAAAAAGAGGAGTGTTACATGGAGACACATACTTAATAATTGCACCTTTGGCGAGTAGGCTTTCAACCTGTTTAGTGATAGCTTCAGCTTGTGCAGGTTTCAGAGGATACTGAGGTCTACGGGGGGGTAATGCTCCTGGCAGGAGCTTGACAACAACGGGGGTCACTTGTAGACGTCCGATGTCATCAGGGCCGGTGGACCAAAGAACTTGTGGGATTCTGTCCAGAGCACTGGGGGTGTGTGTGACCCGTGAATTCCCTGTGGAGGCAGTGAGGTTTAACAAAATGGGGAGAGAGCAGAGTACAGAGGTGTCTTTTTGTGATAAGGGTGTGGTTAACTGGACCTGGCCATCAGCAGTAAAGGTAATAGAAGCCTGGAGCCGAGAAAGAACATCAGCACCTAAGAGGTTAATGGGACAGGTAGAAGAAACAACAAATCTGGAGAGTATGTGCGAACCAACATGCAGAAGTTTGGTGAGGGGGCTACTGCGGGGTGTACCATCCACCCCAACACAGGAGACATCGGTGTCAGATAAAAAGGAGGGGTCAGGCAGGTCTTGTTCTCTGAGAACACTACGGGCTGCACCTGTGTCAACTAGGAAGGTAGTTGGATGTCCCTCTACGGGGAGAACTACAGTAGCTAAGGGCCCTCCCCTGCAGACACTGCCATGGCAGGGGTCGCTGACACAGGCTTGCCGGTTACCTATTGCAATAAATCTAAATGGGCCTGGTCGGGACCTTAGTACCGGCGGGAAGAAGTGGGAGGGTGGCTGGGCTGCATAGCAGGACGGGCAGGGCGGTTTTGTCGAGGTAGTGGCTGAATTTCTTGGAAATCGTCTGTGTCAAACCCATCAGCAGGAGCCGGAGGGTATGCACGGGCTTCTAAAGCAGGGGGCCGGGCCTGTGTGTATTCAGGAGGAGGAGGAGGGGGAAGCTGAGGAAACTGTGGGTGAGGCAGGGCAGGGAGGTAACCTGTGGAGGGGAAGCTAAAGCCGGAGACATGTGGACTAGTGTACCGGGGAAGTTGTGGGCGGAACACTCTGGGGTGAGGGCAATCTCTTTTGAAGTGGCCGGTCTGATTACAGTTAAAACAGGTCCTGATTGTCGTGAGGGTCCGGTCCCGGGAAGAGGGAACAGATGCAGAAAGGGTTTGGGGCTGCTGAGGGTGTTGTTGGGTTAATACCTGCGGAACATGGGTAGAACCAGTGATTGGTGTGGGTGTAGTAAACATCAGTGGGCTAGCTCTCCTTTGTGTGGGCTGTAAAACTGATTCTAAACCCTTGGCTACCAACAGGAGTGTGTCAAGTGTTATAATCCTGTACTCTGGACGAGATAAAATTAACCCCTTACGAATGTGTTCTTTAAGACCAGCCACGAAGGCTGCAGATAACATCTGGGTGTGAGCTTTGTTATAGGTACTGAACCCTAAGTCTGAGAAAGTCTGAGTTAACCTAGAGTGATATTTTTCAACAGTTTCAAGTTTTTCCTGTATAATATCATTTATACAAGTAGCCTGGTCAGCTAGTTTATCCTGTGCCCAAGCTCGGAGTTGTTCACAGAAGATAATACCAGAACGAAAATCTGTATCAGAAGTGAGTGGAGCATCATTAAAGCTCCTTGCCATGATTGGCCAGTATGCATCCCCAGCTTTAATTTCACACAAACTTAAAAGATCCCGCCATGCAGCGGAATATGTTTTCCGAATCTGTGCCATTCTGCGGAAAAAGGGCATGGGATGCTTTTCAGGATCAGGGAGTGAGGTCACAAGGGTAGCTGCTTGGGAGGGGTTGAACGTGACATACATGGGCGGTGCACCATCCGCTCCAGGGTTAACCTGAGTATAACCTCGGGGAATAGAGTGCCGTTGGGGGAGTCTGTCCCCCCCCGGGCGAGGTGAATCCTGTTCTTCCACATCTATCTCCTCGGGTACAACTGGGCCGCGGTGAGGAGTAGTCTCGGGGGAAGCCGTGGCTGGAGCGGCAGGTAGGCCGGTGACGGGTGAGGTGGTTGGGTGGAAACCCGAGGCCTGGGGTGAAACGCCCACTGCATAGGGTTGGTCTGACGTTACTGACACATCGGAACCAACCACCATGATTGGGTAGCTAGAGTTGGCGGGGGGAGTACAAGGAACCAATGCCATGGATGGGGTAGCTGTGGGGGCCGGCTGGGAGGGGCGTGATAGGTGAGTATTAAGGACGTGAGCAAGGGCAGAGATTGGATAGGAAGGTGTAGGGCAGGCAACAGGAGGCGGGGAAGGGGCTGGGGGATCAGGAGGAGGAGGTGGAGGAGGTGGCAAATCGTCAGGAGGCGGAGTAGGGATTGCAGAATTGACCAAGGATGTAACAGCGGAGAGGAGGGCGGAGATAGAGGTGGACAGGTCACTGGCGGTGGTTGGTTCAGGAGTCACTGAGGGAGGGGTAGGAGGGGCGGAGGTAGGAGGCTGGGTTGCAGTAGTGAGAGCGGAGAGGAGGGACGACAAATCGGCCGGGAGGGAAGAAGACGACGAGGCAGAAGGAGGTGACGTAGTAGGGGCGGGTGTATCAGGAGATGGTGACGTGAGAGTGGTGGGTGGATCAACCTGGAGAGTGGGAGGGGTGCCTGGAGGGTGGGACAAGGCAGAAAGGGCAGTTACTAGTGATGTAAGATCAATAGAAGGAGGAGAGGTAGAGGAAGGGCCAACGGTAGCAGTGTGTGTGGATGCAGAGGCGGGGGAAACAGAATCAGTAGGCTGGATAAGGTTTATGAGAGTAGAGAGCAGAGATGTGGGATCGTTAGAAGGAGAAGGGGAAGGAGTCGGAGGGGATAGGGAGGTTGAGGTTACGGGACGGGTCAGCTTTGAGATGTCAGAGAAGAGGGAGGTAAGGTCTGATGGGGATGGAGAAGGGGTAGGAGGAGCAAGAGGAGGAGGAGGAGAGGGATCAGGAGGTATGGGAGGGAGGACAGGCAAAGTGCGGGTAGTGGGTTGAGTAGAGGATGAAAGAATGGAGAGAAGAGAAGAAAGGTCTGGAGGTGGAAGGGGAGAGGGATCAGCGGGATCTGGAGGAGTGCGGTGGGTAAGGGTCGAGAGGGCAGAGAGCAGGGACGAGAGATCAGTGGATGGAGACGGTTGAGCGGGCGTCTCTGGGGAGGGGCCAGTCGGGGTGGAGAGGGGAAGAGAGGAGGCGGGGACCTCTGTGGGCGGGGTAGGAGCTGATGGGACAGGATCCGGACTAGGGGCTGGGGTGGAGGCAAACGTAGGTAGAGGGGGCGGAGGACAGGGAGGCGGGGGAATGTCAATGGACGTAACAGGGGGAGGGGCGGGGGATGGGGCCTGATCGGGAATGGGCTGGAGCATAGGGGTGGGTGGGAACGTATGGAGTGGCACAGGATAATAGTAAGCACCATCGGCTCCGAGCACGGGGCACAGGGGGGTGGGGGCTGGAGCCACACCTCCAGAGGGTGGAGTCTGAGCAATGACGGGGGAAGCAGGGCGGGAGTTAATTGTCACGCTCTGGGCGCCATCATAGGGCGGTGGCTGGGGACAGTGGAAGAAACATCATCATTGTTAACATTCCTATGGTACACATGTACAATTTGTCCTTCGAAGTCTAATTCCTCCTCAATCCATCCCTCCCGTTTGAGACCTCTAGCTACTCGATACCAAGCCTCTACAGCCTTCGTAAGCCCATTATCCAATAGCAATCCCTCCTTATCTATAAGCAATTTCCTCCAAAACTCAGGTTGTAATCTCCCACTGGGCGACATCTGGAAACCACACACCTTAGCAATCTTTTTAATCTTTAGCATAGCATCTTCCCCCGCCCTTTCTTTCACAATGTCACAAGCCAACAATCCCTTAGCAGGTCTAGCATGTTCCTGCCCCATCTTGATCAAACAGAGTGAGCCACGTGTAAGGGACAGATATACAGAGAAGAAGAAAGAGGAATGTCTACAGTGCTCGACTGCCACGAGGACTTGAGTCCCGTGCGTCTTCCCAAAACGTAGACTAGTCACGAGGGTCCGCCCACCCGAGGTGGTGGTCACGGACCGCAGCGAGCGAGCGTGGGTGACTAACACAGCTCTGGGCAACAAACACAGGAGAGATAAAGGACAAATGAGAAGATAAACGTGGCTACACTAACAAGAAGACATTTACAGAAATCGCACACATAGAGATGAGTGTAGACCCCTGAATCCAGAACTAGCCACACAACACACACACACACACCGAGGGTACCCACACTGTAACAGCAGTTGAATAAAAACCACAAAATGACAGAAAGTAAAATGGCCATGTACATGTTAACACCGCCAGTACCAAATATTCAAAAATACAGCAATCCCCAGCCCTTCCCCACCAGGCTGGCCCCTTGTAACACAATTATTAATGAAACTCAGCAAAATTCAAGCTAAATCCCAGCCCCACCGGCTGCACTAAAATCCCAGCCCCACCGGCTGTAACAAAACAAAATCCCAGCCCCACCGGCTGCACTAACTGTATTAAAATCCCAGCCCCACCGGCTGTAACAAAACAAAATCCCAGCCCCACCGGCTGCACTAACTGTATTAAAATCCCAGCCCCACCGGCTGTAACAAAACAAAAGCCCAGCCCCACCGGCTGCACTAACTGTATTAAAATCCCAGCCCAACCGGCTGTAACAAAACAAAATCCCAGCCCCACCGGCTGCACTAACTGTATTAAAATCCCAGCCCCACCGGCTGTAACAAAACAAAATCCCAGGCCCACCGGCTGTAATGCATTCCCTGCCCGCTAGGCAGTCAAGCTAAAATTTCAAAGGAAAAAAGCACATGCATCGGTCGTCACACACATTCAAACAGATACAGGAGGCAGATAGACAATCGACAGGTTTGCCTAAAAAGGCACACCGGATGAGTTAGTTACCTGTCTCTAGTAGCCTTCTGGAAGCCGGAAGTGGACTCGGAGACAGACCGACACAAAACAGGAGAATAACACAGGCAACGGCTGTATTATGGAGGTAATCAGGCTCCGCTCGTCCCACTTTCCGGAGGTCCGCTCCGGTCCGTTGGTTTCCGGCTGGACAAGAGATGTGGGAAGAAACCCTACAGGGTGTCCAGTGTTGGCGGGGTGAGCGTCTCCCCAGCAAGGAGCAGCGACTACAAGCCCGAATGGCCCTACGGATGCCTATGCTGGGAGAACAGCCCCAGGAGGAATTGGTGATGCAGCTTAATTCGCTGACATGGAGGGAACTGGGTATCGACGATGCATACCAAGCGCTACGTTGGTACGCGGTTCAGCGTTTTCCCGGAATGGCCAAATTTTACAGACCAGAGGGCAAGGATTACAATAGCCCTGGTTTATTGTGGGGGGCCTTTGCAGAACCGTACTTTGGGAGTGCGGCCGAGTCACGACTTTGGGACATATTTGCCTACAGAGAGGCCATGCTGGACCTCCTTATGGCTGAAGACCTAAGGCCAGACCTGATTGAATTGGCTGTCCAGGAATGGGAACTGGAGCAGGACTACCAGCACCTGATCAGCTCCAGTCAGTCACCCTGTACCCTACAGGTACCACCAGAGCAGTTGGAGTTCGAACAGGATTATGCCCTTTTATTTGATGCAGTAACACCGCCTGTTTCTAACCTGATGGGGCTGATGGACTGTACACCATTGGGAGCGTTGAGTTTCGTCCCTCCTCCCCAACAACTAAGCCTGTCATCAGGAGACCTGGGGTCTGTACCACTTACCCCCCCAACCAGACCCAGCTGTGGGAGACCTTATCAACTGGTCCTGGGAAGACCCTCAGCTGACAGGTGGAGGGAAGACCGGGATCTCTCCACCAGCCCTACAAAGATGCAGGGCAGCCGGCCCCGATCGCCAACCACAGATGGATATGTTAGGAGTGGGGACAGTCGGTCCCTCTCCACAGTGTGCAACCCAGGGAGAGGAGAGTGTCGTCCTCCATCTCCAGCAGCCAAGTGTGTTATTGGGAGAAGGGACAGGCGGTCCCTCTCCACAGCGGCAGAGTGCTTTACAGGGAGGGGAGACAACCGGTCTCACTCCCCAGCGGCGGAGTATAGTATTGGAAGGGGAGACGGTCGGTCTCACTTCCCAACAGCAGCAGGAGTTATTGGGAGAAGAGACAGTCGGTCTCTCTCCCCAGCGGCAGAGTGTCTTACCGGGAGGGGAGACAACCGGTCTCACTCCCCAGCGGCGGAGTATAGTATTGGAAGGGGAGACGGTCGGTCTCACTTCCCAACAGAAGCAGGAGTTATTGGGAGAAGAGACAGGCGGTCTCTCTCCACAGCGGCAGAGTGCCTTACAGGGAGGGGAGACAACCGGTCTCACTCCCCAATGGCTAAGTATGTTATTGAAAGGGGAGACAGCCGGTCCAGATCCTCAACCACCCTCACAGGAATGCCAGGATGAAGAAGCAAAAGGTCCCTTCTCTCCACAGCCAATCCACAACCTGGTACTCGCTGACCCCATCCCAGCAGAAGAGCTGGCATCTGGGCAGAGCACAGGTAGCCTCTGCCCTCTCTACCTCTTTGTTTTGGGGCCTGACAACCCACCAACCAACCCAGTGGAACCGCTGACTACAGGGCAGAGCGCTGCTGGCCTCTACCCACCTGGCACTCGCCGTCCCCAGCAACAGCTTTGTCCAACCATGGGAGAAGGCATCCGGGTTGTTTTTCCACAAGACCCGGGATCTGCAACTGGGCACAGGTGGCAGGAGGCCATCTGGACAACTACACCTTTTGAGAAAGGCCGGCAGACTATCAGAGCACCAGACCGCTGGGAGGTCTGGAGTCTGGAAGGTCTCAATGGGAAATGGGAGATATGTAGCAAACTCACCCATTTAAGAGAGTATGCCAAGAGCTTTTGGAGGGGCTTGCTTGCCCGCCTCCTGCCATGTGACTATAGCCCTGGGGGTATTGCCCTTTAAAGACAGTATTTGGGCAGGATGGATTTTTATTATGCGGCTACTGGCCCTTTAAAAACAGTATTTGGGCAGGATGGATTTTTATTATGCGGCTACTGGCCCTTTAAAAACAGTGTATGGACTTCTATTAGACTGTGTATAGGAAGGTGTGACGAGACCAATCTCGCCACATTGCATTGGAGAAGCCTGGTTACTCGCCTGCTGCCTTTGGACTATGGCCCCCTGTTAAAAGACATCTTTTCTACCTGCAGAAAAGTTTAATTCGTGCTTTTCTGCCTGGGGTTCGGTAGATTTGTTTGAATGTGTTATACCCCAGATAGGAATCCCATGGAGCCCATTCGTATGAAACTGACTGCAAAGACTTTGGCTCCATGGCGATTAAACTGTATTCGTGTGGTCTGAGCGCCATTCACTTAATAATGTGCACTCAGACCTGAGCTATCTGGGGATATGTTAAATGTCTGTGTTTTATGTATAAAAGGTGACTTTATGTATTTTAAAGTGTTTTGTGTCTTTTTGCAACCATGTGCTTAATGGAGTCTTGTGTCTGTCCTGGGAGATAATTTAATTACTCTCCAGGATAGAAGACTCTGAAACTGGTTTGGGCCAGAAAGCCATGCTTCATTTAGTCACAAAGGACTTTTTACTAACTTTTGAACCCCTGGTCTGATTCATGCCATTTTTAATATGTTGTTCCCCTGAATGGATTGATTGTGAATATGTAATTTTATGTGAATGTGATGTATGGTTTTAGAGTTATGAAAGTTGGGTAGAAAGTATGTTTTAACTGTATGTGTAATTGAGTTTCCTCTCAGGATAAGGGGAGGGAATATGTGGGATGTAACTGTGATGTGATTGGTTGTTTTATACCTCCCTGTGGGCGGTCCTGTATTTGCAAGACTGTAATAAAAACCAGGCTGGGTGTGCCAGCACCTCAGACCACTGCTTGACCCTCAACACGGAGCCTTGTCTCGTTCTTGGGGGGATTCACTGTATGCTGTTAGAGACTGATTGCCAGGAGTGTAAGCCGCTTGGGAGCTTTTCCTGTTCGTCTGCTGGCAGCTATTCGTGAGGTTCCAGTTCGGGAGTTGGAGTGCTATTTTGTATCCAGTTTGGGAGTTTGGTGTTCTGCAGTAGCTGTGCCTGTATCTCTGGAAAGGGGGCTGATCGCCTAAACGGTTTTTACCCCTTGTGTGCAAAACGGTCCGTTACAGAAGGTGTACCTCTCCCCCGTTTCCTATCCCATTGTTCTCCAGCAGGGCGTTGTCCCAGGCACACTAGTTGGAACTGGTTTGGGCTGGAAAGCCATGCTTCAGTGGGCCTAAAGGGACCTCCACAAAACTTTAAACCCCAATAACTCCCGAACCCCTGATCCGATCTGGGTGATTTTTGAATATGTTATTCACCCAGATCAGGGCTATCATGGATACATTTAGGGGGATACCACATTTAGGGGTGTACCCTATGTATTTGGGATACATGTAGAACTTGTGATTGCGGCGCCCTGGATATAGATCGGGGCAGAAAATAAGGAATAAAAAATAGGTAATGTGGGGGGCTTAGGGGCATTTGGGGGTAACTAGTGGGTCAATTGGATGTAGTGGAGGCGGGAGGGGGGCTAAAAAAAAAACGGGATTCGCCATGACAGTGCCGCTTTAACAGATAAACTGATGGGAGGAGATGTGTGGGTTGTACTTTATTGGTTAATGTACTAATTATTGTGAATCCCTCCCTTGCATGGTAGAAAGCTTGAAAAGAAGGTTGTTGGGAATAAAAGTGCAGTTCTGCTCCTGATACTGTGTGTCGTCCAGTTATTGGGAAAGGTGATGGGATACTATTGGATTTTACTGCTGATTGAGCTTGTTATGCTGGTGGATTATTCGCTCACTGTGGGTACTGTGCCTGGGATTATTGCTTGTTCCTGAGCCACACCTGGACTACCAGCGGAAATAGTCTGTGAGAGACCAGTGTTCCGTTACACACCAGTCTAACTAAAATAGGCAAACCGTACCTACTAGGAAACCGAAGCTGAATGCAAGATGTCCTGGCGAGATGTGCCCGCTATGCAGGTGTCAGAAGCTACTGCACCACTAACCGAAAATGTCCTGAAGATCGAATATAGTCCCATCAATGCCAACCCCAAATCCATTGCACAGAGGAAGGAAAGACCACATAGCTCAGACAGAAGACATCAACAACTGACCGGAATGAGAAAGGCGCAGAGGGGAATGATCACTACCTACGAGACAGCGTCGCTGCCACGCAGAGTCTACGTGGGTCGTGGAAATACGGGTAGGATATAGCTGTCAAATCCGACCAGTACGTATAGACATCCCGAAAGGAGAACCGTTCCGGAGAGGAAGGAGACGCGTCGACATATAAGGCCCGGACACCCGACACACGTCTGAAAAAAAGAAAACATAACAAGAGGGCAAACCAAACGTCGACAAAGGGAAGGCCCTGAGAATCCGGACAAACCTGGAAGAATGACCAAATCGCGTATGTCCTAAAGAAAAGAACACCTAGGCCTTGGACGCAGCTACAATCACATACCTCTGATACACCCGCCAACCAGCGGGTCCTGACCAAAGGATAACCTCTAATTGGTACATAAACCGCCGATCTAGCTACCGAAGCCCAACGATACGAGCGTCCCAGGTCAAATAGGAGTGACAGAAAAAAACAGAACGCTGGTAACAGGGCCCGTAAAGGAAATTGTATCCCGTGCCGGGTCAAATACACCTGAGCCCCCATGACGACAAATAGCATCTCTTCGGCCCGGGAGTCCAGTCCGATCGCGATAACACCTAAACACTCTAGTCTACCCTAAAGGGTCCAGGCCACTACTCAGAGGCAACGCCTCATCTCCCCAAGGTGCAACGCCTCATCTCCCCACACTGCCAGACTAGTTGGAACTGGTTTGGGCTGGAAAGCCATGCTTCAGTGGGCGTAAAGGGACCGCCACAAAACCTTAAACCCCAATAACTCCCTGTAAGGAAACCAAGTACATTTAAACCTTAATCGGTAGTTTCCTCCCGAACAGCCAGAGCCCAGTGAATATAGCCCTCCATTCGGTAGTTATAGTAGACGAATTCCCAATTGTAAATCCAATAGTGTTCCTGGATAATTCCCACAGTAAAACACACGAACTCCCAACAGCATACGTAGTCAGAATAAGGGTACAAAGATGAAATGAGGTTTAATGACAGGCATGCTCTTTTTATGGGGTTCAGCCCATGCAAGGGAACCTCCCATATAATTAGCCATACATCCAATCCTAACAATATACATACTGTACATCTCCTCCCCCCAGATAACCATTAAACACAATTAAAACGTAACAGAAATTCCCCAAAGTTTGGATGTACCCCAAGGACTATTGTCTGGGAGACCAACATATTAAAATCTCAGGCCATTCGGTTCAGCCGTTCAGGAGATATAGGACTTAGAAGTTTTGACGGACTGCACGGGCAAAGTAGCCGAAAACAGTGCCATGAATTCTGGCCCTGCAGTCGGTCTTAGATCGCATGAAAAATCTCCCGAACGGCCGGCCATCCAGCTACCATCCTTGGTTCGCTGGATTCCCCATCTGTTGGTAAGTCTTTCTACCGAACGCCCGGTCGTTCGGTAGTTTGGAAGGGGTTTTACCGAAGGTCTGGAGGCTTCAGCGGTGTGAAAAGTATGCATCACATTCACATACTTACATTTTCAGAATCAGCATACTCCAAATACAAACATACGTCAAAATCATACAAATTGGTCCAGTGGTTCAAAAGATAGATCGTAGTCCTTTGTAACCACAGGAAGCATGGCTTTTTTGCCCAAAACCAGTTCCACAGAGTCTTCTATCCTGGAGATAATTGGGAAGTAATCAAATTATCTCCAAAGACAGAGGCAAAACTCCATTGAACACATGGCAGCAAAAAGACAGTAAAATACAATAAAATACACAAGGTTACATTTATGACATAAAATACAGACATGCAACATATGCCCAGATAGCTTAGGTCTGAGCGCCATTCAGTATGTAAACACATACAGTTCAATTGTCATGGAGCCAAAGTCTTTTATTAATAGGCTCCATGGCATAGCTATCTGGGTTATACGAGTTCATTCAGTAAATCCGAGAATCTACCGAACGCCAGGGCAGAAAACACGAATAGACCTTTCTGCATAGGAAAATAGGGTATTTAAATGCCGGTCCATAGTCAAAAGGCAGCAGGCAGGCAACCAGGCTCCTCCAATGCACAGTGGCGAGATTGGTCTCGTCACAGACCCCTTTAAGATGGTTGAAGCCTTGCACTGCTGAAGCATTGTCCATCCAGAGGGGAACGCCGCAATCAGGAAATGATTCGCCAACTCAGAATTGTGAACTAACCCAGCAGTTCCCTGTCGTTCATGGGGAACTCCGACTCCATCAGCAACCATAAATCGTCCGGATAGATGCAGAGGCCTATAGAACAACAGCTGAATAGGTAGGGTCTGTCCTACCTAGGGAAATGGCGGAATTTTCGGCACTCGTTGCCCGCCAGGACAGAGAGGCATGCGTCCTACCGAACCAGTTCCGTGAACCCACCTCGTGGCCAGAGGAGGCCCATAGGCGGTGGGTGTCCTCCCTCCTGAAGTGATGGTATACCACGACGGCGTTTGAGATTCTCCGGTTAAACACCGAGTGGAAAAAACCCCAGACCTTGTCCCAACCATAAAATCGGGTAGAAAGCGTCAAGCTCAGTCTTGTAAGGAACACCAGGTCTAGGACATCATCCTATGAGCAAGTCTTGGCCGCCAGTACGAGCATCCTGTATAAAGGGACCGACATGACCCACAGTCCATCCTGCGCCAGGCTGAGATTGCGCTCAACCCCTGTCATGGGGCCCCAGACCTGTGTGCGTCATGCATGTGGCGACCAGGTTCCGAACTCCAGGGGCATGGTTATCCTGTTCGGACACACCGGTCTGGTATCCCGGCCAAAGTTTCCTGCAGACTCCTCACTCTAGCAGCCTGCAGACCCCGCGGCACACGAAACGTGCAAGGTGTTCGGGTAGAGACCATTCTGAATACCCAGTCATCGAATCTAGCCAAGCTCGTACCGGGGTTTGTCGGAGGCGACCAGTCCTCCGTCTCACAGCGCCTCTTGAGGACGACGTCAATATCCCCGCTCTAGTCGACCCCTCCATCCGAGGGGAACTGTTCTGCCCACCATTCAGCTAGGGCTGCTACGGGTGGGAGGGGTACGGAGACCTCCTTCCCTGCGCCATATAGGTGGCGGCATCTGGCCAGTGAGGCCGACAGCATCGGGCCCAGATGCTTTGCTGGAGCCTTACCCTTCCGGGATCGTTGTACAGGGCCTTCACCCTTCCAGTAATGCCTCTGTGCACTTGCCCACTCTCATCTAGGAGAGTCTGACTCCGCCGAGTTGTCTGCCGTTTGATGGGGTCCTTCTCGTGCCCCCACCCTAGAAGGGCATGAGGGGACACCTGGCCCAAAGCCTTTCCCCCCCGAGGCTGCCTCTGCCGCACGGATCCTCGTCCCCAACTAGTATTCCTGGGTAAAGGGGGTAACCGCAGGTAGCAAGACATCCAGGCGTATAGAGAAAGGAGTGCCACCAACAGAGTAAACGGGGCAGCACCCCAAGGTGGAAGAGGTAAGTCAGGCAGTGCATGTCAGTCCCAAGTGTGAGCATGTAGTGGGTAGGCTTGGCGTTCAGAGACAATGGCACAGACAAGGCAGGCCAATCCGTGGGCACAGACAAAGCAGACCAATCAAGGGGCACAGACAAAGCAGGCCAATCAAGGGGCACAGACAAAGCAGGCCAATCGGTTTTGCACAACCCAAGCAGGGCAATCAGTGTGGCACAGTCAGAGCAGGCCAATCAGTGTGGTACAGTCAAAGTAGGCCAATCAGTGCGGTACAGGCAAAGCAGGCCAATCTGCGTGGCACTGTCCAAGCAGACCAATCAGTGTGGCACAGGCAGAGTAGGCCAATCAGTGCGGTACAGTCCAAGCAGGCCAATCATTGCGGCACAGTCAAAGCAGGATTATCCGTGTGTAGGCAGCAGTGCTTGCACCCTATAGAGGGGTCCTCCATCTACAGGTACGCATGGTAAACCAGGGGGTGCGTGGGGCTTTAAGACCGTCTAGTATGTGTAAATGACGTGTGCTCCCACTCGGGGGTAGCAGCACTGCAGAGCTAAGAACAGGGACACCTGTAGCAATAATACTACCCGGGGGCGGTAAACAAACCCACGCCTCATACATAAATCTAAAGTAAAATCGCAGGGTCCCCGCGTCACCTACCCCCAACACCAAGTGTAACCTTCCAGGATAAAACAAGGTAAAATAGCAAGGCACAGAGGTGAGTAGGTGAAATGCCAACTCACTGTTTAGTGAATAAGCCAAAGATAATAAACTAAAATACCAAAGACCAACCGGATCTATAGCCTAATCAAAAGCTATAGGTATCTGAGTGAAATCATATAGTATACACCCTGTTCCAAATTATTATGCAAATGATATTTTTCTCATTTACCTAAATAATTGATGTAAATAACAGTCAGCATAATTCTCATGTTATCAACTATTAAGAGTACAGTTCAAATTTTATTGAACAAACCTCCTAATGATAACAGTATTAAACTGTTTAAACATAAAAACTTACAATGCACTGTTCCAAATTATTACGCACAGTAAGTTTCAAAACACTTTATAGGTTGTAAAGAACTGAAAATTGTCATTTGTTGTGTTTGCAGCATATTTACTGAAATCAAAAGCTATTTCAAACAAACTTATAACAACATTTTAACTTTTTAAAAATTTTAACAGGTCACGTTACATTTTAACATAGGACCCATTATTTGATACCAGCTTCACAAGTCTTGCATCCATTGAACTTGTGAGTTTTTGGACAGCTTCTGCTTGAATTTGTTTGCAAGATGTCAGAATAGCCTCACGGAGCTGCTGTTTGGATGTAAACTGCCTCCCACCCTCATAGATCTTTTTCTTGAGGATGCTCCAAAGGTTCTCAATAGCATTGAGGTCAGGGGAGGATGGAGGCCACACCATGCCTTTCTCTCCTTTTATCCCCATAGCAGCCATTGATGCAGAGGTATTCTTTGCAGCATGAGATGGTGCATTGTCATGCATGAAGATGATTGTATTAAGGAAAGCATAGTTCTTCCTTCTGTACCAGGGAAGAAAGTGGTCAGTCAGAAACTCCACATACTTTGCAGAGGTCATCTTTACACCTTCGGGGCCGACCAGCTCTCTTCCCATGATTCCGGTCCAAAACATGACTCCACCACTGCCTTGCTGATGTCGCAGCCTTGTTGGAACAGGGTGGCCGTCCACCAACCATACACTACTCCATCCATCTGGACCATCCAGGGTTGCACGGCACTGTTTGAAAATTAGTCTTCATGTATTTTTCTGCCCAATGCAGCCGTTTCTGCTTGTGAGCATTGGTTAGTGGTGGCCGAATAGAAGGTTTATGCACAGTTGCAAGAAACAAGCGAAGCAAGGACAGGGTGATACAAGATTTAATTCACACCCTCGATGCAAAAAAAACACAAAAGCACATCATCCACATTGCACATGTGCTTTGAGACCCTTTCCGGCAGCTGCAAACGAACGATCGAAGGGGTGGAAGAGAAGGGAAAGTGGAAAAAACCACCAGCAAAAAGGCAGGGAGAGGGAGGGGAAGGTAAAAAAGCCCCAAGCCTGCGAAACAATCCACAGACAGACAGCCCCAAGCAGGGGGCGGTAGAAGAGAGGAAAAACACTTGTCCCAAAATACAAAATAAATCACTACAGTAAACACAGACAAGTCCAGTAAATACAGAAATATGATATAAATAAATCAATACAGTTATAAAAAGGTAAACACAATATAAATAAATAAATCAACACAGTAATAAACAGATAAATACAGTAAAATAACCACAGCCACCCAAAGTAACAGGAGGCAATGGTACTCTGACCAGTACTGATGTGGAGTTCTAGTAAAGAGAGACTTTAGCAAATATTTGCCTCCTGTCATTAATAAAATTACAACCCAGGCACACCAACCTGACCCGTTACCTCCATAAAAGGTTCTAGAACTGCTGAACGCTGCTGGAGAAAGTCACTTTGCAGCTGACTTCCTCCACTATAAATTTATGCTGCGCTCCTACAGCCTGACTCTTTACACTGCTAAAGTAAATTACTTTAACACCCTCATAAGTACACTGTCCCATCAACTCAAACACCTATTTCACACTTTGATGCTCTTCTTCAACCTTTTACTCTCCTTCCTTCTACCACCTTGTCCACCACAAACTTTGCATCTCACTTCACTGAGAAGATCTCTACAATCAGAGAAGAGATCGCTAATTTATCTCCTTCCCCTACCAATACAAAACCGAACCCCACTCCCTCCACCATTCTACACTCATTCGCACCTGCTACAGCAGAAGCGGTTTCTGCTCTGCTACGGTCCTCCCGCCCAACCACCTGTTCCCTCGACCCTATTCCTTCTTATCTCATCCGCACTTTGTCTCCCTCTCTTGCTCATCCTCTCACTAAAATTTTCAATCTCGCTGCCTGGGTGTTCTTTTTGACTCCAACCTCTCCTTCACCCCTCATGTCCAATCAATTGCCAAATCCTGTTGCTTCCATCTCAAAAACATAGCGCGCATCCACCCCTATTTAACCCCGGTTGCGGCTAAGGTGCTGGTCCATGCTCTTATTCTCTCTCGCCTTGACTACTGCAATACCCTTTGTGGCGAAACCGGCCTCGCCACGTGTCCTTGGAGGGGGCTGCTTGCCCACCTCTTGCCTTTGGACTATGGACCAGACTTTATGTGAATGTATTAACCCAGATAGCTATGCCATGGAGCCCATTCGTGTAGTTAAAGACTTCGGCTCCATCTAAATTGAACTGTGTGAATAGGATCTGAGCGCTATTCGGTAGTTTTGTGCGCTCAGATCCCAGCTATCTGGGGATATGTGACATGTCTGTGTTTTATGTATAAAATGTAACTTTGTGTATTTTATAATATTTTAATGCTTTGTGCTCACCATGTGCATAATGGAGTCTTGTGTCTGTCCTGGGAGATAATTGAATTACTTCTCAATTCAATCTCCAGGATAGAAGACTCTGAAACTGGTTTGGGCCGGAAAGCCATGCTTCATTTAGTCACAAAGGACTTTCCCTTAACTTTTGAACCCCTGGTCTGATTCGTGCCATTTTTAATATGTTGTTCCCCTGAATGGATTGATTATGAAAATGTATGTTTTATGTTTGTGACATGTATATTTTAGAAGTTATAAATATTGTGTAAAACTGTATTCCTCTGCCGGTGATAATGAGATTACCCATTGTGTTCAGTAATCATATCACATGCAGAGGGGAGGATTTTGTGTGGGAGTGTCTGGGTGTATTGTACGGATTGATTGGTTGTTTTGTAATGCCCTGTGGGCTGTACTATGTTTGTGGATTGGGAATAAAGGAGACTGTATGTGACAGTACAGGGAGTTCCTGTTTTAACCCTCAAAGTGAAGTGTCGTCTCATTATTGGGGGAAGGATTTATTGTATGCTGTTCCAGTTTGACTGCTAGGAGAGTAAACCTATTCGTATGGTTCCTATTCAGCTGTCTACAGCATTCATATGCTTGGGAGGATTCATATGCTTCTCCGGTTCGGTGGTTGTGGTGTCTGCTGCAGTGCTTGGAGTCCTCAGGAAGCGCTAGGAGCATCCTTTAACGGAGGTACCCAGTCGGGGTGCCAGGCGATCTGTTACATTGGTGGCAAGCGGTGGGATGGCGTCCTAGTGTGAGGTAAAGCAGCTCAGAGACACAGTCGTTTGGATTTACAAATTGAAGGCGACGCTAGTGTTTATACAGCGTCCCTGTCTACATAAAGATTTGGGAAAATGGGGTTCGTGGATCCTTGGGCACCTCGCACACCTGAGGAAGAGGGTTAATTGGACTGGAGAGATATTGCCCGGCAAGAACTATGGTACAATGCCCTGGAGGAAGTCCAGTATCAACGGCAGCAGCGCCTTCCTGGTGTCGCATACCGGTTGGAGGAACAAATGGCCTGGTGGATGCCGCTTCTGGGAGACCAACCCGGAGGGCAGCAGGTCAGACAACTTGAGTACCTGGTGGAAAGGGAACTGAGCCTTGACGCCTCATACCGGGCACTGTGGTGGTGCACTGTCCAGCCAGAGACATGGAGGGCAGAGGGCATCCAGCCGGAGGGGGAGAACTACACTAGCCCTGGCCTGTTGTGGAAGGCCTTAGCAGAAGACATCGACTTTGGCAGTCCAGCAGAGTCACGGTACTGGGCTATTTTTTATTACCGGGGTGAGATGGTACAGGGCCCGAGATCTATGGGACTGGGACAAGACCTCCACCGTTTGGCTGCCATGGAACGACAGCTAGAGATGGACTATGTGGAACTACTAAACTCATGTCAGCCACAGGGCATAGACACAGAACAGGAAAGCTGGCTGGGAGACCCAGACCTGCCAACCTACAGCTGGGAAAACGCAGCCGAGGTACCCCCTGCTTCACTACCAGCGGCAGAAGTAGGGGACCTCATAGACTGGTCCTGGGAAGACCCACAGATGGCAGGTGGAGATGGGATGGCGGTCTCTCTACCGGCCCTAAAGGGATGCTGGGCGGTCGGCCCAGATCTCCAGCGGCAGTGTGTACCC